GTGTGAAAGGAACAGATCAGGCCAGGAAACTAATTTTATTTCCAACTAAAAGCACTTCCATAATTTAGGTACGTAGGATGTTCCTATTTAAAGAGAATTTGGCTTTTATATATGCTTGGCTTTTTACATATGCCTGAAGACTTGGACTGAGGACTTTGGAAGGAGCACAACTGGTCGAGCACTGGGCAGCAGGCTGTATAGCAAATACCAGGTTGGATCATCTGCATTAAAAACAACCTTTTCCTCCCTCTCAACGTTCACTAATAATAACTTTGTAGGTTATATTTAGGTTAGAAGGCATAGCTTTTCCGAAAGGTATTAATATTGCATTGTTATCCATAGAAATGATAATTTTTTTAACAATGTGTTTTGAATTCAAACACTTTCAAGGGGAGTTCTGGCAGATCAGCTATGATCTGATTATTTTATCCTAACATTTTTTCTCCAAAATGTCGTATGAATTATACATTTGAGTTTACTATGCAACCTCTGAAGGGACCAATAACTCAAACATTCTCGCTGCACTTAGCTTTTATCTGTTACAGCCCAGTTGCAATGTTTTCTGTTGGAAGTAGGAAGTGTTAGTAAATCTGCCCAATTAAAGACAAATCCCAGCCAAAATAAGGATTTGTAAGGAGACCAGATGCCAGGCAGAAATGGTTTTCTTTCTTTTTCATGCTGTCCACACCGCAAAACACTTCCTGATGATCCTCTATAACCTTTCTTTTTTGTAGGTAATTCTGCTTGAAACAGCCCTCAGGTAATCAATTTGAATCTGTAAGTTCAGTTTATCTACATTTTCCTATGGGCTCCAGCATGAGCTGGGCACTTCCCAACCCTAGAAAATGTGAAGAAATTGGGAGCGCTGCCTTCAGATAAGCACAGCACTTGTGCAAACAGCGTCCCTGAGAATGAGAGGATTGCCCTTTTCTGTCTGTAACTCCCTTCTCTCTATCTTTAGGCCTGGTAGTTTTGGCCAATCTGAGCTCCCATCTGGTACTGAATTACTGAAACTACTTTGATAAATGCAGCCAGTCTCCACATCTCAGTTGTTTTGGTTGTGTAGACTGTTCTCTGTGACAACTTCAAAGGAGCCAAAGTATCACCTGAAATCTTGAAGGTCTAACTGTGAAGCATTGGAGTGTCCCTTCCTGGACATCAGGTTAATCACCTGATCATGTCCCAGAAGGCATTAACTATTTATAAGTAAGTGATTTACTAGGACCCCAACTGTTATCTTTGTTTAAGGAGAGGAGTAAGACAGGAAATTTGGGAGGGATCGATGAGCACTGAAGTGTATGCTACATGTCCTTTCATTGCTTTTTTTCCCAAACTAACCGGAAGCACCCTAGTGAATGCTAGGGTTTTGATGAATCAGTTAAGTTACTCAGATTTATTGTGAACATCTGAGTGTTACATTATTAAGGCAACAGGTATTCAGACTGCCGTCGGTGCTCCTGAATACAAACGTCCCAATATCCAGAGTGACACCAGGCTTACATCTGCTGTGTGCAGGTTTACTAGTTCTTGTCTTACTAAAAGTGCACTGCAGAACGTATTTGAACGTATAGATAGCCCTGTGATTCACAGACCTGACATACAATTCTCTTTTGCTTACTAGTTTCACTCTGTCATCACTGACAAGAAAGGAAGTCATTTCAGGTTCATTTATGTAGGACTGTCAGATAAATACACCTTCCTAACTATCTCGTATTTCCTAGCTGAGCCCTGGAGAAGTCAGTGAAATGGAGCAACATGCATCACAGGGTTATGTGATACTTTGCGGAGAAGCTGGGAGGGATGTTCTTTCTGTGCTATGATTTACTGCACAAAAATATTTAACAGGATCTCCAGAGAAATGGCACTTCTCATCTACTTTATAGCAAGGAAAAAGAATAGCACCAGATAGATAGATAATTTCCTTCTTTCTTTCCTCTTACACACTTGCTATTCACCTGCAAGAGCAGCGGAGCCCCGCTGAGCAGCAATTTCAGAAAATCCCAGTTACCAGCTGCTCTCCAGGTCCCCGTGACAGCGCAGCCCGGGCAGCTCAGCTCCGCTCCAGAGCACAGGACAATGAGAATTTGGTGCTTGCTGGGCCAGGAAAGGTTTATCAAAAAAAATCTTATATTACTTAGCACAGTAAAAAGTGGCGGCTGGATATCCTTTGTCGTTAGTCAAGAAATCTCCTGTATCCCAGGCTCTCCACCAGTAACTGAGCACCATCAATTGAAATGCGCGGTGGCGGACTGTCAAAATACTGGGTTTCAGTGCACTGTTTTAAAACTATTTCTTACGCTGCCTTCCTCTTGAGCGCTCCCCTTGCTGACTGCAACACCCTTTACTTTTCCCTGAGCTTTCTGTAGCTCTTCTGTTTTCAGCTGCTAGAGGATGCCCCCAAAGCAGTCGGGGCAGCCTGAGGGGCTGCAGGTCAGGCTGAGCCTTGCAGGTCCCCCTAGGAGCTACCAGCCACCTGGAGAAATGCGGCCAATCCCCCAGGCCACGATTGCTCCTTCCTAGTGTGCAGCATTAGCACCTGAGCGCTTGCCTGTCTGCTTTGGCTCGTTGCTTATAGGAGCAGATTTTTCTTCTCCTTTGTTTAGTTTAATTGCTTCATGACAGAGCTTTCCTCAGTGACTTGTGAACCAACACAGGCCGTTCCCAGTAGGCCTGAACCTCTGCACAGCGAGAGGGCCACAAGACGGGGAGCAGGAGGGCGTACTTCAAAGTAAGTGAGCAAAGCTCCCAAAGAACTGAAAAGGGCAAAACCCAGCATCCATGCTTGCCTGAAACTGCTGCTCAGCCCAAGGAGGGCTGAGACCGTCTCCCTCCTCTGCTGCCAGGCTGCAGCGTGAACGGTGCACACGTTCACGAGGGTGGTGGGTCCTGCCCTGCCTCCTGCAGCCCCCCGGGCTCTCTCTGTGGCGTTCCCCAAGGACCACAGCGGCACCCCGCTTGTGCCAGCTAGCAGCAACGGACTGAGACTCCCTTCCCGATCCCCGGGTCGTATTCCTGCCTGGCATAAGCAGCTCCTCTCCGCATCTCCTTGGCCAGTCCTGGTTCCCTCCTTGGCCCCATGATTAGCCAATAAGCTGCTCATGTCAGCTCACTTTGGAAAAAAGCGTTTCTAGATTTTAGGCTGTGGTTTATTTATCGAGTTTCCTTGAACTTTCATTTCTCCTCTCTCCTGTCAAGACCTGGAGATTGTACAAACCCTGAAAGTAAATAGAAAATACCAAGCTTAGTTTTTTTTAGGTCACTGTAAACTACACGCTTATCTGCTTCCAGAACACATAAGCCACAGGATGTCATCTAGGGTAAACAGAGAAGGATAACGACTGGAAAGGTGTTCCTGGCTGTAGATGTGAATAAATCAGGACCACGTAGAGGAAGTGTGTTTCTGTATTCAGGCAGCCCTTTTTTTTTTTATCTAGGAGCCTGCTTTCTTCTTCATCAGAGGATCCATATTCTTCTGGTAACAAAGTTCTTTTTATATCTCTGTGTTTTCACATTCTACCAAGCAGCCTCTCAAAAGAAAGAACAAATCTACTAAATAGTAAAATGAGGGATTATTTCCACTCATCTGTTGACAGACATTTCTCTAAATTGGATCAAATGATTAAAGGTATTAGAATGACGTCTTGCAGATCCAGATCAAATCATTTGAAACCTTGAGACTGTTTCTCCTTTGCTTGGAAGGAACCACCAGAAATAGTTGTAGGTCCTAATTGCTAATCATTCTTACTAATGTGAAATTGTTAATTTGGATCTTTGAGTATTTGCTAGCTTGAAACCTAACTCGGGGAGCTCAAGATGGAAGGACCAAGCAGTGGCTCACTTCATACCACGCCGTTCAGCGTCTCTTTAAACGCCTGAATGGTTCTTTCTAGAATTGCTTGCTCTGAAAAGGATTCAGACTGTGAAAACTTTCAGCACCTCACATTGCGAAGATGGCACTGTTGAAAGTCAAATTCAACCAGAAGAAACGGGTAAAACTAGCTCAAGGTCTATGGCTCATGAACTGGTTTTCAGTGCTTGCCGGAATCATTGTTTTTAGCATGGGACTGTTCCTCAAAATCGAACTCCGCAAGCGAAGCGAAGTGATGGACAATGCTGAAAGCCATTTTGTGCCCAATTCTTTGATATTGATGGGTATATTATCCTGCGCCTTCAATGGTTTTGCTGGCAAAATCTGTTACGATTCTCTGGATCCCACTAAATTTGCCAAGTGGAAGCCTTTGCTGAAACCTTACCTGGCGTTGTGTTTCCTTTTTAACATCCTCATTTTCTTTGTGGCTCTGATTTGCTTTCTCATGCGAGGGTCTCTGGAGAGCACCCTGGCTCATGGGCTCAAGAACAGCATGAAGTTCTACAGGGACACGGACACCCCTGGAAGGTGCTTCATGAAGAAGACAATTGACATGCTCCAAATTGAGTTCAAATGCTGTGGAAACAATGGCTTCAGAGATTGGTTTGAAATTCAGTGGATCAGCAACAGATACCTGGACTTCAGCTCCAAAGAAGTGAAAGAGTAAGTGATTTAATGGAGTTTGTATTGCATAGGATCATTATTTGATCAGTGTTATGCTAAGGAAACATACATTACAACACACACTGTGTGGAGGAGTTTTTGCATAAAATATTTCTCTCTTTCTCTCTCTCTCTCTCTCTCTCTGCTCTTGCTTTAATAAGGATTCAAAGCATTCAGCTTTCTCCTCTGACAAATCCCTCTAACGTTATCCAGAACATACAATATAAAGTACCAAAATGCAATTCCTACCCATATATAATGTCAGGTGAACAGAATTAAAAATTGCTTTTTCTGTCTTTTACCTCTTAAAACGAGCTCATTATATTGAGCCACACATACCTGCTCCTAAAATCAAGTGTCTAACTAACTGCAAAGTGTCAAAACTTACCTATTCCTAAAGCAGATTTCAACTGGATTTACTGAGTTAGCAAAAAGGGTCCCCTGAATATATACTGTTGATACCACATTTAAAGCTCCACTTCAGATACTGGCAATTCATCAGTCTCATAGACATAAACAGAAACAGTACCATTTTACCGATAACCCATGCATTTTAAATTCTTAAGATTTAGAATTTTATTGTTAAATTCACTTAATGGATTGTTTCAGCATTGTGACAATACCCGGCTGCCAACAGAGGCAGATGTGTTTTACATTCTCCTACATGTTGAAAATGTGTACTTGTGCTTAATTTTTTTTAAACCTCGTGTGAAAAAATTATTATTTTTTCTATATAAACTATAACAGCTTGTTGACCAGAAACACCTAATGGCTCTGATATCAGTGCTTAAAAGGGTATTAATCTGAAAATGACATTAGGCACAGTAAGCGCAAGTAAAAAAATGAACATGAGAACAAACAAACTTTGGAAAAGAAAAAGTGAGCATTGAGCATAAATGCCTGTAACTTTTTAATAAACTAGCATTTGAGGAAGAGATGTTTACTGAGAGCTCTTTGAGAACATCATTCGTTAGGTTTGTACTCCATGGCAGCACGACGAACATTGTAAACTAGAAGCAGTCTGGTTGTAAAATATACTGCATACATTAAAAATATCTAAAGTGATTTTGAAAAAGAGCTTTGTGTATGTCATGGGATCCCTGCCTGGCTGTGTAAATGGTATTTCATTTGGGTGTCTGTGCGTACTGTTTTGGCCAGTTGGGTGGTCTGGTTATTTTTACAATTCTGAAGTAGGACGCTACCGTGAAAGCTACTACAGGGTTAACCTATTGCACTGCACTGTTATAACAAATACACTCAATGACTTAAGGGAGTATTTGCACTGTGAAGGTATGCCCATGGGTATAAATAGCTACTTGAAAACATAATAAGTTCACCTTGCCAGCATTATATGAAGATCTGAGAGAGCTGTAACTTAATCCAACAGCAGTAGAAGGGCAAAGCACACAGAAAAAACAAGGTTATATCGTCCTTATTAAATGTGTTTAGGCCTATGAGACTCCTGGTGACTTCTTTGTACTACTGAGACAGTAAATAGGGCCTCAGAAATGGGCATTAATCAGTAAATTCAAGGTTTGAACTACACAGTCTCTGGTCACACAGATGGTGGGATATTCTGGCCCCTTTGAACTCAAGAGCAAAGGACTCCTTAATGCCAGGGAAGGTGAGAGTCCAGCCTCTACAATGTGATTTTTAGATTATTCATAAAATCAAGGCCTGATCCAATCTCTCTGAAATGTATGCAGCACTTACCATACATATCTGTGGGAATTAGACCCAACTCAGGGCACGTCGTACATCTGGAGATAAGTCCTGGGCTGCGTTTGGCATTTAGGTAGATCAGGTGACCACCAGCAGTCCCTTCAACCTTAATTATTCTATGATGACTCTTTTCTGATTGCCCTTCATGAAATTTCTCTCTGCCATTCACTTTTCTTAAAAATTAATTTCATCGAAGAAGTGACTAGAGAGGCTGCGTTTCCAATAATGCAGAGTTAATTATAGATTTTGTTCAGCCGTGACGTAGAAAAGGATTTTAGAAAGGGAAAACATCTGGGAAGAGTGCCACTGTATAAACAGGGGATGCAGGGAAATCGCATGGCCAGGAAGCACCGTGGAAAATCTACGTTGCTTTACTTTCCTTTCTTGTTCAAGTTTTCTCCGCTATATCTATGCGTGTCTGTGAGTGTATTCATACTTCCTTCTGCCCTTACCTGCATACAGTCGCATCAAAAGCAACGTGGACGGGAGGTACCTGGTTGACGGCGTCCCTTTCAGCTGCTGCAACCCCAGCTCCCCGAGACCCTGCATCCAGTACCAGGTCACCAACAACTCAGCTCACTACAGCTATGACTACCAAACGGAGGAGCTCAACCTCTGGGGCCGCGGCTGCAGGGAAGCCCTCCTGCACTACTACACCAGCATGATGAGCTCCATGGGCGCCGTCGTCCTCCTGGTGTGGCTTTTCGAGGTAACCCATCAGCACCCATCAGGTCCCCCACCCCACCCCAGCCCCCCCCCCCCCCCCAACGCTCCGGTTCCAAGGGTGGGGGCAGAGCGTTTTCCAACACATACTTCTGGGTTAAAAATCTATTTAAAATAAGCGATCCACCATCACTCTGCAGCTGACAAAACCCACGTAACAGTGAACATCTGTGTAAGGCTGAAAAGGTCCCAGGCTGGGCAGAGAGCTGGGAAACAGAGGTGGGGGCGTTTAGCTTCCAGAGTCCACCTTCAAAGCAGTCCCGCCAGAGCCTGGAATATCCCAACAGCAACAGGAAGAAAGGACCAGTGTTAATACCAGCTTTCGGGCAAAAGGCAGAGCGCAGCGTAGGGAAGGAGGAGGGTGACAGAGTTCAGCCACCAGGCTGCGTTGCTTTTACATGCATCGCCGTTCGTTCGTGAGGAGCAGAGAGTACTCAGACCTGTACATCGGGAAGAGACGGCTGTATGCTGTGGCCCAGAAAAGGGAATTAGTGGTTTATGTGGTGATAAACCTGAGACCTAGAGCGATGTGCAGTGTCCAGTTTCAGATTAGCATTTGTTTTAAGGGTCTTTGTTCAGGCCCATCAACTGTTTTGGTCACAAGAAGTAGCCTAGGTGAAGCAGATGGTTCAGTTTTATTTTATTCTTCTTCCCGAAGCCCCAGCGCGTATGCCTAAAAGGTGCAAATCCCGCACAGTGCAGATAGTTGGGGAGCCCATAACCTGAAGTGCAGCTTTGCTGCTTAAATACTGTTTATTCAATGTGAGGAAAACGTGTCCTTGTGCCTTCGGGTGCCTGCCTATTTGCTAGCTGTGGTGTTTCGTCGGTGGGGACAAGCAGGGAGCGTGGGCTGGAAGCGGCACGAGGGCCGGCGCGTGCGGCACTGGCTGCTGCGGAGGGAGGACGGGCCTGCGTGGAGGAAGGGCTGTACTTCACTGTCGGGGACAGCGGGAAGCAGGCCATTTATAACACCTGAAACGGCTGCTGCCAAATAGCATTGCCGATTTTAAATAATTCAGCCTGCTTTTTTAAAACTCAGACAAATGCAAGCTTAAAAAATGCATTACATTTTGATACAAGCCCTGGCCTACATCCTTCCTGGAACAAGCAGGCTTTTTAAAAAATAATCACCCACCCAAATAATATGTAAACCAAGAGGGAAAACAAACAATCACCAAGTTGCTTCAGGTTGCATTACTTTAAAAATAACCACTATGCCAGGCTGAGAGATATTATTACTTGGTAAGAAGAGAAAGCGAAATCTGCAGCAGGTATCTCAACACAAATTTTAATGAAGAGATCTTGACGAGAGGGGTGTTTCAGCTGTATAACATTGGAAAGCGATTCAAAAACTTGGGGGAAAACTACACAGAAATACTGACGCCAGCTGCAAAAAATCCTGACTCAGGACCTACTTACGGGAGATTGATAACAGTGATATAGTAACATTAATATTATTGGTAGAAGTATTGTGTTTTATTTCCAAGTCTTCGAGGTATGTCTTGGTAGTACTTTCAAGCTTTTCAAGCTGTGAAGTAATAAGAAATACAATCTTTTTTTTTTTTTCATTTTTTTCTTTTTTAAAAGAAACACTGAGATTTTTTTCAGGTAGTCAGAGGACTCTCGGAGTAGAGCTTTAAAAAAAAAATATTACGAGCATTTGCAATCCTGGGCTATATTAACTGGATCCCCTGAATATTTATGACTGGCCCGATATTCTGCAATAAAGGGGCCAGGCTGGATCTCAAACTCCCTCTGCTTTTAAGGCAAACCTGATGACCTTGAAGAGAGAAAACAAGCAGAAAACAGACATAAATTTAGTCTCCCTTGGAATATCACCACTTTCTTTAAATTCTGGTCAGAATAGGAAACAATTTTATCCAGAGTAGAAGTGCAACAGAGGTCTAGACTCCCAGCTAAGGTAAGATTTCACTCTAGACAGCGTGTAGTACAGTGGGGAGTTAGCATGCTAGCTTTACACTTCTTGTTTTATTTTCTCTTTGACTGGTTTGCTAAGAAGTTCAAGAAAAATGCTAGCAAAGTAGCTTCCTGTTTCGCTTTGCTTCTGGAGCCAATGTGAACTCAAGGCAGCTGGACAGCCACAGCACCACCTTCGTAAAACCACTTCTGGGGCCTGCAGAGGACTCTTCCAGTTGGATTAGTGATATTGATATTTGGGAAGTGGTACAAAGCATAGACAAAAATGCTAATCATAGCTGTACTTGGAACCACAGAAAAATGCAACACGCCAAATGGGCATAGGGATCTCAAGGAAGGCCATTTGGATTTTAAGCTTGTACATTAGGTGCACAGAAGAATGAACATATTTTGAAGTATTAAAGCATCTGTTTGAAAACATGCAGAAAGCCATATTTCCTGGGAAAACATTATTATCTACCTGCTGCTTTTACTATCAAAAGCTGCAGGCTTCCCAGAAGGACTGACAATCAGTTATCAGAGTGACAAAAAAAGATCACACCATGCTCTACCTAAGCCGCCTCAGGCTAAACCCTGGCAAACAGATGGGCTTTGCTTTTGAAGGTTAAGCAGAGTGAGGTTGGCTCTTTGACCTGCCCCAGCCTGTGAAAAGAGGAAATTTTGGGATTCAGGGTTGCCCTGAGCAGAGCATTTCAAAAGCAAGGACCGCCAGGAAGGAGGGCAACAGCTGATTTCTAAGATACCCAATCCTTAGCACAGTATACAAATGCAGAGCTCGACAGATCGCGGCCACTGCGATGGCTGAGACCATGAGATTCGTCTTCTGCTCAGCAGAACAGAGCGAGCCCCAAACTGAACTCCAGAAGCTGGGAACCCAGCAAAGCAAGTAAGCGCCAGTATGATGTTGCCCTCTATGTTGCGTGCTGGAAAGCAAACTCCCTGCTGCATTCAACCCTATAGAAGTGGTGGGCTCCTGATAACCCTCAAAACCAGTCCACGAGTAGCATATTGCAGAAGTCCAGCAGGAAGGGGATAAAAGCATAGCTCAGTGCAGCAAAAGGAGAATTTCAGAGAGGTTCAATCTATTAAGTTGTCAGGCAACTGCGTGAGTTAAAAAAAGGAACCACAGCAGTACGGAATGAAAAAAAAAACCTTAGCCACTGAATATCGCCACAAGCCAAGGTAGCCGGGCTGTCCTGCCTTCCCCCGCAAAGTCACACACACACAGAGCAGAGGAGCAGGGGGCCGTGCAGCAGGGCAGAAAGCTCATTCTGCTGGAGCTGAACGAGAGGCAGAGCGTGCTGCGGGGGGGCACACCAGCTCAGCTTGGCCCTGTGCAGCCCATCCGGCTTCAGGGAAACACTGCAGACTCGTTCTTCCTGCAACTTTAAAGCTGCTGCTAAAATGACGAGAATTTTTCGTGGCAGTTTGTCCAGGGGAAATTGGTGAAACTACCCTGGCTTTCCAACCCTGACAACCAGTGTTCCTCTACTGGGTTGTTACTAAGCAGGGTCTACAGCTCACGGTATCTTTGCAAAGCTGAAGCATGCTGAGGCATTAACAGACATTTCTGAAGTAGGAGACAACTCCAGCTGCCTTTCATAATTTGTTTGATAACGTGATCTATGCACAGCATGCAGCTCTTCAGTGTCCTGGCCAAGACTTGCACGCAGTAATAGGTGGGGGGCTATGAAAAAGCTTCCTGCATTAGGGCTTCTGGATGCATAATTTATCAAGTAATTTACTTTAGCAAAACTCATGGTCCAAGGCTCTATGCTATCCTATAGGAGATGTTAGATTCATTTGCCAGATACTTGTCTCCAACTTTCTGGATTCTTGTCCACCAGAAAAGGCAGGCTCCCCCACGAGAACGTCCATTTTGCACCGTCTCTTAATGCTGGGGCTCAAACCTTTTCTGAGCAGGACTGCTAAGAAAATGAAGTCTTACACTGAGAGAAAATGTCCGACTCTTATCTGAGGGTAGGTCAGCTGCACCTTTCCACACAAGCACCTTCCATATTGAAAGTAAAACCATCCACAAAAACTTAAGATTATTTCCAGATTCAGGGTCACTAGGAGCCTTTTTAAAGGGCAAGGAGCGAAGGGTCACATGTTCCTATATTAAACAGGACACAAAAGCTGCCTTTGCATAGGGACGTATTTGATGAAGTTTCTTTGACCAGCGTTTCTCCCTTTCTGATCTTGAGTGAAAGGAAAAAAGCTGAAAATTTGGAGGGTAAGCAGAAGTAGCTTTAGTCGTCTAAGAGTCTGGAAACACTGATGATACATAAGCAGGATGACGGGGCAGATAGATAAGCTAATGAATGCTCCAAAGCAGCCCACACTTGAGCAGTCCCCTCTTTTAAAGGGGTCCAAACGCCACGAATGGACTTTGCAACTGGCCATGCTAAGTGGCTGAATCCCAACTTCAGATGTGCCTGGCTGCCTAATGCCGCAATCCCACACGAAAGTTGTTTCCTCCCTGTCTCGTTCCAAAGTGTCAAACAGAGCAGCACCTTGCAGGCCCTGGGCAGCTCTTCAGGGGCCTCGCTGGCATCAGCCTCAGCTGAGCCAGCGGGTAAGGAACACACAGGGACGGCGGCCCCGTCAGCTTTTAGGGTTTAGGGAGACCGGAAGTAATCACTTCCTTGAGAATTTGTATAGGATAACAGTTATTGCTTACAGACCAAATCCTGTGAAGCTGTTAATGGGAATAAGCCATCCAGATCTTAGCTCTACCAAACACACAAAAGACTGAACTCATCCTGTTGCTGCCCCATCATGGCTGCAGACCACCTGCTCTCTCACTGCACCGAGCCGGCTCTTCTGGCCGCTGTTTTGTCTTTCTCTAGTTCACAGAGCGTTCACTCGTCTTCCTAAGCGCCACATCGATGGCAGTCAGATTGTTCTGAACAACGTTAGAAGACAAGGGTTAAAAAGATTCCCATTCTGGAGGCAGGTTTGGGGCTGCTGCTGGTGTCAGGGATGTTACACCCCCTCATACACTAAAGAAAGTCTCAGTCAGGGCTGCCGGGACCGGTACATATTTTATCACAAATAAAAATATGTTTCAGATATAACTAGTAACAGATACAGATCACCTCCTGCCTTGATTTCGTTACTTGCACATATCTACATAAGAACAAAAACAGAATTTGAACTGGGCAAGCTGATGGCCCAAACGCTAATGCTGCTCTGGACAGATGCTGGTGGATGAATAGCTCCTTAATTAGATTAATGTACTTGCCAAACATATTAAGGTAAATGTGAAATGAAAATATTTAGAGTTAGAATAAGTGGATGTTGGCAGAGGATAATACCGTGCACGTAAACAGCTTTATGAACATCTAGTGCGCAGAAGCAGTGGTACCATTAAAACCTCTCTACCCTGTGGATCAGAGGTATTTGGAAAGCCCCCTTCTGCACAGGACCACACAAAGCTGCTGCTTTGCAGCAGCCACACACATGGTATTTCCTTCAAAAGGAGGTGCACGCACCAGCTGCTAATCAACTGTCACTGGACAGAGGCACAGCATACTTCCCATGGTGCTCACTGCTTGCAGACTCTTTTCCTTTCCTACTTGGAAGAGGATTTTTTTCTTCTTCCCACCTCTCTCTCACTCCTCCTGGCCCTTCAAAGGGAAAGGTTGCTCCTCTCGTTCCGGAGTCTCACGAAGCTGTTTGGCACCTTTTGCACCAGCATTGACAGTCGGTGTAGAGGAGCAGAGTCACGCTCCGACTCGCAGAACTGAAACAGGGCTGCAGGGCCGGAGAGGCACAGGGCGAGCACCAGTCCGCCGATAGCGGGGGCTGCCAAAGGGCCCACCGAGCACATAGAGGTTTGCCTGACTCGCTTTGTCTTTTCCATCACATGGCACAGATGTCCGTGATGGTTGGCCTGCGGCTGTTGCACACCTCCCTGGAAAGCATCGCAAATCCTGAAGACCCCGAATGTGAAAGCGAGGGGTGGATTCTAGAGAACAGCCTGAAGGACACTTTCAAGTCCACGTTGGAGAGTTTGAAAAAGATTGGTAAGTTCAATCAGGTGGAAGCAGACGCCGAAGGGGCTGAAGGAGAAGGTGGAAAGACTCCAGCGATCGCAACAGTCAGTTGAGCTTCTAAATGATGCGGACTTTCACCAAAGAGGAGTGAAAAAAACTGAGAATTGTGAATATCTGCTTTTTAAAAGCTATATAACAACCATCAAAATATGCATTTCTATACATGCTTTTTTTTTTTTTTTTATATATGGGAGTATACAACATAGTGCACCTTGGGATAAAACATTTATCCACATTGTGAGTACACCATATTCATAACTTCCAGGGGAAATGACCCCAACAGGACTTGCAGTACTCCTGTGTTGTTCCCTTATCAGGGAGAGTTAGTTTAAAAAATAAAAATAATTTAAAAAATGGCTGGCATCACTCTGTGATCCATCCCATCTTATTTTGAAATTAAAAGTGGTTTGAAAAGTTAGTATTTTTTGCTCAAATTGATTTATCAGCATACTTTATGTACTTTTTTTTTTTTTGGGGGGGAGGGGGGGAGTAAAATCTTAGAACTCCAAAGAAGAAGGATTTCCAGAATTGTATAGAACTTAGCATAATGGTATTTTGACCAAATTTTCATATAATGTGCTTTTTATTAATATGCTAAGAGATGGTATTTCTGCTGTGTGCTTAAGATGTACATAATGAAACAAAAGGCAAACTTATACCAAGAATTTATGTACTCAGCAAAAATTGTAATTTAATGAAAGAGCAGGAGTAGCATGAAAACAACAATAAGGTAAGATTTATGTTTTTTGTTTCTCAGGGTTATATTCAGCCAGTATATCCTGAATGAGTGTATGGTAGGCTTATACTTCACCTTGTATTTAAACTAGCAGAAGTTTTTAGATGATTCCTCTTTTAGTAGGTGGAATCAATGCTACGAGCATGTGCCAGTTATGGTTATTCTGGACCTAAATATGTAATCTCATAGCTTCTCCAGAAGCTCCAGAAGCTATTTAAGCCCAACTTTTTCTAAAACAAGAAAAAAAAAAGGCTATTTAGAACTAACATTTAACTGTTTTCCAGGATCCTAGCAAACGGATACCATTCATCCACAAGTACTTCAAGCCTCAAACTTTGAGGCAGCAAAAAGTAAGTTGTAATCAGTTCCTGAAAGGACCAGTTTGCAAACTTACAACCTTTCTTTTTTAGTAGGGTACCCTTTGTTACATCTCTTAAGTCAGAGAGTAGGTACAGTTAGCACATGGCTGCATCCCTCCAACCACAGTCAGTTTTTATATATAAAGTTGGAATAAAACATGGAATAGTTTGCTGTGGTGTGTGGCCTCTAGTAAAGGAACATCACCTTGAATTACTCAGCAGCTGCCAGGTAAATTCAGCTGAAGAGAAAGAAGCCAGAGAGAGCAAACCCATACCTGCTCCCTAATGACAATTGCAAACCTTGCGGTCCCTCAGCTAAGAATCAGGCCTCAGACTTTCTTTCAGCTCAGCTGTGCAAAAACCTCCACTTTACTATGGCTTCTGTGGGAGAGTTTTCTCTGAACATCCTTCCCACCTGGCTGGTCTTCAAATGAGCCATGCTTGCGGCTGCCTGACCATTGTACAGCTCAGGAGTTTTAACTCTTAATCACTTGTGCCCTTCCCCCCGCAGTACTCCAGCATCGCAGCTCCTGCAGCGTTTGCTCAAACTCATAAGCAAGTCTTCCTAGGAGGGATAAACCAGTTATCGGTAGGACAGGTAGGAATATGTCTGCACCTCAAGCCATAGTCTCATGTCAGTGGCCAGGCTGTTTCAGGCACCCTTCCACTTTTTCAAAGCTACACTGAAATGCTTTTTTCTTTACTTACAATAATAAAGAAAAAAAAAATCAGAAAATCAACTCTGTCTTTTGTATGCAAGAATGACTAGAATGAGGGCACTAACGTAAAAGCCAACTTGCTATTCACCACAGCCTATCTTTTATTGCTTTGCTGAGGACAACTCTGCTTAGCAGAACTGTGTAAAACAAACCAACTGCTTTCTTCTCAGTAAGAAATCTGTATGACCTACTGCTTGTCTCAGCTGGTCCGTTATGGAAGAGCAGACACTTTGAATAGTGTATGACACGTCCACATTTAGCAGAGAAGAGCTTTTCAGAGGAAACACGTATGACTAGGAGTTGCATTATAAGGATTACAGTTTTTCTTTGTGAGGCTTCACTGTGCTGTGATCTATACAATTTACTTGACTAGTCATCTGATTTTTCAAAGAGATCTAGATTTATTGCCGTCCTAGAAGTTTGGCTTAGACCATTACTACAGACAGGACTCCCCAATTACTTGTGGTCTTTACTTCTTTCAGTTTGTTACTACAGAGACATAACAAGTTGTCACATTATTCTTTTAACACCATATTGGAGAAGCCAGTTCCAAGAGCAATGGTCTCATTGTGCTAGGAAGGTAGAGAGACACCTTAAGAAAGAATATTACCGGAACTGGGGTTTCATACAAATAAGAACAAATAGCATATGTGCTAACGCTGTCTACAATAAAGTCTCCTGGTTAATTAAGATCTTTGTAGCATCTTATGATTATTACAAGATTGCAATATGACTGCTTGTATTATATTACATGTAATATATCATTCGTCCAATCTTAAATATATTTTCTTGTGACATCGCAAATGCTGTTCTAGATAAACATATCTATGCTGCCTGCAAATGTAAACTTAGGTATTAAAATTATATTGCAAGTAAAAACCAGTCAAAAGAAAATGTTTAAATATATACAATTTAACACAGATTTTATTTAATTTGCTGACTTTTCGGTTCTGAATTCACTTTTTGACCTGTTTTATGCGTTCCTACAAGTGGGAAGCTTTTTTCCTCTATACAATACTTGGAGAAAGCAAAGCTTCTCATGTGTCAGCAGACAGACTCCAAAAATCACTTTCCTCTTACTAGAAACAGATTTTGCCAGACCATTTCAGTTATCTTCTTGTAATACATAGGAATTGCACCATCTTCACAGGGCTTCACTTCTAGAATTGCTGAACAGCTGAAATCATTGGCATCTTCAGAATCTTTGGAAATTGGTAAAACTACGTTTATTACCTCTTTTTTTTCCCCCCACCTCCTTTAAATCTAACTTGCAACAGGCATTCAAAAGAAAGCATCATTATCATTTTAAATTTACATCTAAAGCTCAAGTAGTCAAACCTGCTTGCCTGGAGCAATTCAAGAACGTCCAGAACCATACCCTGATTTTCAAACTAATAAACTTCAGCTCACATCAACTTCAGAAGCATGTGAGCTTAACTCATACAAACCAGGCCACTTCTTTTTAGGTACCTCCATATGGATTAGCAGCTTAAATCCAAGTACCTACATCTGAAAGCCAGCCTGAGGCCTTGAAGAACAAACTTTTAAGAAACATCATTGACGTTTAAAAATGACTTGCCCCGGAAAAGGGGCTATTCTACTGGTGACATTTATTTGAACAGATATAGAACGTTTATTAAAATTCTTTAACGGAGAAAATATAAACAGCTTCCTTAAAGCTATTAATTCCTAAGTAGCCTTAATACAATTGATAAGATTAGCCTTCATGCATTACATGAGCTTGGACATTTTATAATACCAGACAAATGCATGTGTGCAGCTTAGCAAAGAGCATCGAACTGCTATATTGGGCTCCTAGGCACAGCACACGTCCTAACTAATAGTGAAAGAAGATTTTCAAGGCTGATATAAAGTAAAGGGGATCCCAGAAACACAATTACTTACTTTGTTTAGTAAACAAACAAAAACTCAAAAACAAAAGAACATTGCCCTTACCATAATCAATGTAAAATCGGGACAGATCACACACTTTTTTTTTTTTTAAATTAAAAAAGCATTATTACAGATTAGTTAATTAAGAGATAAGGCCAAAGAAACAGAATGGCGTCATGTGATAACAGCCCTCTGTGAGGAGATGAAGGCTTAGGCAAATTTATTTCCGGTAGAAGGGAGTACAGCTATCTCAGTGAAATCTAAAGTATTCCATATGTGAAGGAATTTTTCAGAAAATCATGAAGAAGGAGTTAAACGCTGGTCTCAAAGATCCTGCATGTGACGATCCCACAGCATTTTACTGAATTTCTGAATTTCATCCCAAAGAGTATTTGTGAGGTAGAAAGACTCCAGGAAACAGCAGCATGGAGCTTAATGTTTGTGGGCTCCCCATCACATGCAAGAACTCCACACCGCACTTCCCCGGGGCATCCAGCACCGCCGTGCACGCCAGAGCCGCCCTGAGACTTCTCCTTGTGTGCGAAGGAACTGCCAACCAGGACCCCATCTAAATAAGCACACACATAAAGAACAAGAATTACCTAATTAACCTGCCTACTACTAAAAAGAGCAGTCAATAAGCATAAGTCAACCACTGAAGTTCATTATCAGCTACATTTCCATGTATCATGGCTCTCAGAGCCAGTTTTCCCAGAGCTAAAGGCTAATGTTGGCATCAGAGGGGTCAGGAGAACTCAGCAAAAAAGGGTCACATGGACAGGTCTGCAGCATATCCTCTGATTAAAGTCATACTTCTTCACAAGGCAGTCAGGCCTTACCAGGTTTGACATTATGCTCCCAGGCAAAACAGAGCCAGTCATCCCAAATCAGGAGACACAAGACACCTGAAATTCAGTTAGGCTCAGCTTCCCACCAGGGGGACAGTGAAAGAATGAGACCAAAGTATTGGCTCCCAAAGGTACAGTAGAAAGCACCACATCTGAGGCAAACAGTTCCCCAAAGAGACTGTCTTGGTGAGATTAAAAGGATGAGAATGAAGTATAATTCTTGAAGAAAGACCCTAGAAATTACTTCAAACTATGCAACAAAACAGAGTTCAACAACAACATCAAAGAGCTGTTATTCCTCCCTGTATATCTTAGCTCTAGATACATCAGACTTATTTTCCATCCAGTAATATTAGCATGTGCAAACAAGATAGAGATCACTCAATGCATTTACCTGCTCCAAGACATTGACAGTCACCAGAATGCAAAACTTTTGTTTCAAAAATTGCTTTTAGCCTTCCCAACTGCTGAAAGTAACCCATTCAAGGGACAGTACTA